GGCGGACACGTTCTTCGCGTTCAACAATTTGATGAGCGAAACGCGCGATCTGTTCATTCGGCAGATGGACTCGTCGACGTCCGGATTGTGAGAACGAAGCGGGACATCGAGTGTAGACACGCCGTGCTGGAGCAGCTGCAGAACTATCTGGATCTCTCGCTGCCCGACGTGGCTGCGCATTTGGTAGCGAAAGGAAAGGCGTGGGATGTAGAAAGAGCTGCAGATCGACACGCAATTTTACGCGATGCGATGGCTCACGACGCTTTATGCGCGCGAATTCAACCTCGACGACACGTTCCGGATCTGGGATTCGCTGCTGAGCGACCCGGCTCGATTTATGTTTATGCATTGTATCGGCACAGCGATGATCGCGAACAAGAAAGAGCAATTGCTGAAGGCGGATTTCTCGGAGACGATGGGAATGCTGCAGAATTACGAGTGTCCGCCGACGGATGTGATTATTTCGTGCGCGAATTCGATTCGAATCAAGCTGTTGAAGCGAGAGAAGGAAGGAGATAAGGAAGAAGAGAGCGCGAGAATGCGTAGGGGTGAAGGGAGCGGATTGAAGGGCAGGAGTGATGAAGGCGGGCGCGGAATTAGCGAGTGATGTGACGGATCAAGTGAAGAAGGGCTGGAGCGTGATGAAGAAGCGCGGAATTCCGCTGCTGAGCAAGTTTGGTAGAGGCGAATGGGGAGAGTGAGGCGTAGCGCAGGAGACGAAATCGCGAGTGCAGAGCGTGACGGATAATGTGACAGCGAAGCTGAGACGAAATAGCCTGGAGTTCACGCTGGATGAGGAAGGAATGGAGTCGAATAGCGATGAGGATGAGGATGAGGAGATGGAAGAAAGACCGAAAAAGAAGGTCACGATGATGAAGAAGAAGAAGAAGACGGAAGAAACTCCGAAGAGTGAGGAAAACGAGGATGATGTGGCTTATTTATGAAGTGTTTTCTGTACAAACAATGGATATCAATGATAAGACACAACATGTAGCGAACCATCAGAATAGTTACTCTTCATCGGGTTTCTTTGTAGGAATTCTTTTGGTCGGAGTAGGAGTAGGAGTAGGCTTTTTAGTGGGGTTAGGTTTTTTGGTGGGATCAGGTTTTTTGGTGGGATCAGGCTTTTCTGTAGGTTTTTTGGTGGGATCAGGCTTTTTAGTGGGATCATCCGTCGTTGGAGTAGCTGTAGTGGGCGTAATTGTTCTTGGCGTAGCCGTAGTAGGAGCAGCCGTAGTTGGCGTGGCTGTAGTGGGAGCAGCCGTGGTAGGAGTGACTGTAGTGGGAGCAGCCGTAGTTGGCGTAGCCGTAGTAGGAGCGGCTGTTGTTGGTGTAGCCGTAGTTGGCGTAGCCGTAGTAGGATCTTCCGTAGTAGGAGTGACTGTAGTGGGAGCAGCCGTAGTGGGAGCAGCCGTAGTGGGAGCAGCCGTAGTAGGAGTGGCTGTTGTTGGCGTGGCCGTAGTAGGAGCAGCCGTAGTAGGCGTAGCCGTAGTGGGAGCAGCCGTAGTAGGAGTGGCTGTTGTTGGAGTAGCCGTAGTAGGAGCAGCCGTAGTAGGCGTAGCCGTAGTGGGAGCAGCCGTAGTAGGAGCAGCCGTAGTGGGAGCAGCCGTGGTAGGAGCAGCCGTAGTAGGAGCAGCCGTAGTGGGAGCAGCCGTAGTAGGAGTGGCTGTTGTTGGCGTGGCCGTAGTAGGCGTGACTGTAGTGGGAACAGCCGTAGTAGGAGTGATCGTAGTAGGAACAGGTGTGTCAACGTTGAATGGAGTAGGGGCTTCTGACGAGGGATTCACTGTTGTGGGACTCTCTGTTGAGGGACTCACTGTTGTAGGACTCGCCGTAGTAGGACTTGCTGTTGTTGGCGTAGCCGTAGTGGGACTATCCGTGGTAGGGCTCGCTGTTGTTGGCGTAGCCGTAGTGGGACTATCCGTGGTAGGACTCGCTGTGGTAGGACTTGCCGTTGTAGGACTTGCCGTAGTAGGCTGAGTGGTAGGTCCTGCTGTGGTAGGACTCGCCGTAGTAGGCTGAGTGGTAGGTCCCGCAGTAGTGGGCTCAGGAGTAGGTCCCGCAGTAGTGGGCTCGGGAGTAGGTCCCGGAGACGTGGGCTCGGGAGTAGGTCCCGCAGTAGTGGGCTCGGGAGTAGGTCCCGCAGTAGTGGGCTCAGAGGTGGGTCCTTCTGTAGTAGGCTCAGCTGAGGGTGGCTCGGTTGTTGGACCTTGAGTCGTAGGAACACCCGTTGTTGGCGGTTCAGTGGTTGGAATGACGAAGCGAATCACATTGGAAGGTCCAGTTACGAGAGTCATGACTTCCGTTACTCTCGAATTAGGCACCTTTGGAATCAGTGTGAGTGTCTCCACATAGGTGCAAATTCTAGTATCAGCATCGCCTGGATAATCGATTGTCAGAACCTGAGGGCATGATGTTGCATTACAAGGCCAATTGTATGTCTGATCGGGATAGCCAGCGCAGATTCCGCGCAATGTGCGTCTAAGCTTGAAGCCAACATCCTACCTTACTGTGCCACATTCCATTCCGAGAAGAACATCTTGGGATCCAGTGCACTGTATACATCCACAGTGTCCGGAGAAGAAACCACTGCATCCAGTCGGTTCTCGATATTCCAATCCAATGACTGGCTGTACGTAACCAAGATGGGGTTGACCACCGTAGGACCAGTCGCTCCCGTCGCTCCCGTCGCTCCAGGCTCTCCAGAAGGTCCCTGAAGACCCGGTTCTCCAGAAGGTCCCATAGGTCCCATAGGTCCAGGCTCACCCGACGGTCCAGGCTCGCCCGTAGGTCCAGTAGGTCCAGTAACACCAGTCGCTCCCGTCGCTCCCGTCGCTCCCGTCGCTCCAGGCTCACCCGATGGTCCAGGCTCTCCAGTCGGTCCGGTCGGTCCAGTAACTCCAGGTTCTCCAGTCGGTCCAGTCGGTCCAGTAACTCCAGGTTCTCCAGTCGGTCCAGTCGGTCCAGTGAAGCCAGGCTCTCCGGAAGGTCCCACTTCTCCTTGGATACCCGCAGGTCCTGCAGGTCCCTGAGCACCTTGTCTACCTTGTCTACCCTGCGGACCCCGCAGACCCTGCTCTCCAGTTGCTCCGGTAATTCCAGTCGGTCCAGTGGCTCCCTGAGGTCCCATCGGTCCTCGCAATCCCTTAAGTCCAGTGGCTCCCGTAGGTCCAGTAGCTCCAGTGGCTCCCTGAGGTCCGGTGGGTCCCATTGGTCCAGGAGTTCCGGAAGGACAGTCGGGACAAGGGAACTGATTGGGGCAGAATTCTTGGTAAATGATGTTGCCCTGCAGACACTTGAACGTATTGGTGACCTGGGTAGGAGTACTGACCAGACCATTTTCGCAAGTTACGAAGTAATCCGAGCAGAAAGATCCGGCTTCATTACCCGCTTCGTCGGTGCAGCGAATTCCACAGAAGTTACATTTCTTATTATCGAGAGAGGACTTGCACACATTCGAGGGAACGATATTGGAGTTGAGGCAGCTGAAATCCGCATCCAAAGGCTTGGAAGGCGTGTATTCTCCAGAAATGCAACGGCGGATGAAGCTCGAACACTGGTTATTTGCAGCGGGGACGCTGTATTGGTTGACACACTGCATCTGTGGCGATGTGGCGTCACAGATTTCCACCGTAGGCGAGCAGTTGCACACGTCCGATAACACAAAGCCATTGTTGAAGCACATAGCGCCTGCCGGCACAGGAGTCACAGGCAGTACTTTTCCATCACAGCAAGTCACATAGAAGGAAGAACACTCATCGGTAACGGGAACTCCATAAGGATCCACACAACGAATGCCTGTGAAACTGCAGGTATCGCCTCCAGAGAAGCCAGGGCATTGTGAAGTGAAAACGGCATTTCCATTCAGACAATACTTGCCCTCGACGATGGGAATGGGCGTTGAAGGATAACCATCCTCGCACACATCGTAGAAGCTAGTGCACAAGTCTGTGACCGGGGATCCGAAGCGGTTCACACAGCGGAAACCGCTAAAAGAGCAGGTGTTCTTGCAGACAGACGCGCTGACGATTTCTCCGTTAAGACAGCTGCTTCCGGCTACGAATCAGAGTCAGGGAAAGAGATTACAGCTCACAGTGACAGGGGCGGTCAGCATGTTGTTAACACATTCTTGATAACGGCTGGTGCAAATGTTGCTCACCAACACGTTTTCATCGGCTAGACAGCGAATTCCACTGAAGTCGCATTGCTGGTACACGGGGGGAGGAGAGCAATAGTTGGACGGAACCAACTCATTGTTTACACATGACACGGTAGTGTTCGCAGCAATGACACCGGACCACTCTTCATCCATACACAGATTGTAGTAACATGAAGGACCCAGAGGCTGAGGAACTCCCTCTTTTGTGGTACAACGAATATTTCCATCGGCACAACCTACACCTAAAGTTCACATTCGAAACAAACAGGGGAATTGCTGTTGTGAATTAACAAGTTGCACACAAACAAAAATAAGCAGTAGAAAACGCTTTATTTTCATTTTAGCTGTATCGAATAGCTATTTGAAAAATATGTTGATATCACCTCTTTGACATGCGAAGCGAAGCGTTGACTCCTGCTTCATAGACTATCAATTCTTAAGTAGAAAAGTAGAGAAACTATTTCACAATCGTTAATACTTCAAACTATCTGGGTTACTTTGCATTGATAGATACTCCTAATCTATTTGATATTTGTTCATCTTATTATTATTAATATTAGCACCTCTTCACAATATACCACTCCTAGTACAAACAACAAGACTTGTTGTCTCCTTGTAAATGCAATTAGAATGACAGAAAAACACTTTGCATAGCCCATTCTGTACAATACCCAAAGAATCAGTTTTTCTTTGAAATGCCTTCTCATCGATCGCATAGAGATAGACGGTAGAATTCAACGATGCGCTTAAACGGTAGAAGTCGGAGCCGAAGTCGAAGTCGGAGCAGTTCGTGCAGACATCGAAGTCGAAGCAGCAGCTACGAAAGTGATCGTCACCGTGGACATTCGTCGCGCCGCTCGGAGCAAAGACGAGATAGAATGTAAGTTTATTTGAATTCCCTGACAACCGTAGAGTGCTTGATGAATTTGGTAGAGAAGTGTAGAATGTGGAGACATTTCATAAGGAATAGAAAACTGTCCGACTTAAGGAAGCAGAGGCAAGAACGTCAAGAGCGAAACGATTCCAGAGAAAAACCAGACGACAAAGAGAAGAATTCACTAGACATCAAGATCAAGATAAATAACATAGAAAAGCAAACGCCTGAAGAAGTCGATCCTGTAGTTCCGGCTTCACGTCCTCCAGATGATTACGAGCTCGAAGAAGGTTTCATTTTATATCGATCATAACATCCAGGAGAGGATTTCACCGCTACCATGCAGCAATTGATGGGTTTTAGTTCGTTTTCCTCGACGAAAGTGTGTATAAATGCAAAAATTAATTCTTAGGGGAAGCACGTTCGAGATAACGACAGTTTGGTGAACAGGGGGGCCTGTCGTGTAATCAAGCAGTTTAGGCCGATGCGAATTTTGAACCGAAAAGGTAAGTAAGTGGTAGAATTTTGAGGTATAGCAAAGATCGAATAATAATACGTTGTTTGTTAATAAAAAATAAGCAAAAGAAATAGCACTAAAATGGAAAAAGTTAACGACCAAGATACTGCTTTCTACACTTTACGAAACAAATGAATAGCAATACATCAAATAGGCGACAAATATTACTACAAGAACCACTACAATAACCGCCACTATGATACACATATAAGCAAAAGGGGTTATGCGCTCAGTGTAGGTTCCAAGACTATTTCTTGATCGAAAATAAGATCGGATGAAATCGCTTCGCATATTCTCTTGTTCCTCATCGACTGGAGAGTTCATGATATGGTATAGTAAGCTGGTTTTCGTACTTTTTTCCGACTGGGGTTTTTCACTGCCAGCTTTGGGTTTAGACAGGCTTAAAAATCGCCAAAAACTGACTTCATCCTCTAGATCATCGTTACTTTCCTCAGTGTTTGAAGGCTGTGCTGTTTGTGTCACTGAATCATCTGGCAACGCTATATTAAACGCACAACTTAAAAATACTTCCAAGGGAATGTAAAGGGTGCGGTAATACTTTCTACTATTAACCGGATGTCTGCGTGTCTTACGTGATAGAACAAGTGCCCCTCAAAAGAGAGTAAAAACAACAAGATGAATACTAGGTTTTCAGCTGCCCATCACGCAATACCCAATGTTAGAATCTTATTAGTCTTATCTTTGTACATCATTTTACATGAATGTATTAATAGTAAATTATATGCATTGCCGCGGGAATTCACTAAGACTTTTTTGATATTGTTAGAAGACGAGAGAAATGCATCCAGTATTACTACTTTTTATCGAATCTCTGCTTCTTGGTGTATCACTGGACAACATCCCAAAGTCGTTTCAAGGACGCGATCGAGATGAACCTGTGATTGTAGGTGATACACTCTGCTATAATACTTCAGATCATCATTAAATCGATAAACTTGCTTCTCTTCGCACTGTATCAATCTTTTCTGAATACATGCTATTTTGCAATGGAGCACGTATGTCCATATTATTTTTATGATTAAAGATTGCTCCATTTGAGATTTGGGGCTTTTCTAACAACCGGTGGGTTCTAGGTGCGCTTTTTTCTGTGATTCACATTCTGATTCTTTACTCCGGATTATTTCTCGAGCATGCATACCTGAAATCGTAGTTTGCGCTTTCCTCTATTCCCTTCAGGTGTGTGTTCCACAAGCAATCCTATTTGAGTTTCTTCTTTTATGGAAATCGATACTTGATTTTCCGAAATCTGGTTGTGGTAAGGGAACTGTTTGTCGTTTCTCGTAGGCTCCCATTTTAGAGGAGATAATCTTTCGTGGAAATGCACTTTCCTTGATGCTTAGCACTGGCTATACACCTCGCCACGCAATTCTGGTAACCTCGTTTACATTTGGAGCCTGTTTCTCTCTGTATTCGCTTCGATCTAGGCCATATTCATCGGGTCATTATCCAGGTGCGAGCTGGGGAGAAGTGGTTAAATGCTTTGACTAGTTTTCGTTTGCTTCGCTTAGTTGCTTTCACTGTAGTGTTCATGTTTCTGTATACCTCCCTTTTTGGCATTCTTGTGTCGTATGTGTATCTACGCACAGGTACGATCGTATCTGCGATCCTAACACACTCCTTGTGCAATCTCTTTTCCATCCCTACGTTTTCGTTCCTCTCCAGACAATCTCCCCTACATGACAAACGCAAAAGTATGGTTGTGGAAACTTCATGATTCCTCTAGTCCTCCTAGGTGCTTATCTGGCAGGAATTGTTGGATACATCGTCCTTTTCCCAGTCCTTCTAAATCCATCATTCCTCCATAGTCCGTTCTATTTATATTCTTTTTGTTCGGATACACACTCTAAATTTGTAAAAGGAAGAGGCAAACCGTGGGTACCCCCAGGTACAAATCTGTGTATTTCAATCAAGTATAATTTCGATTTTTTTGGGGGTGAATTTTCCTTCCATTCTGATTGTTTCAATAATAGTATTATCTCCACAGATGTAAGTAAACTTTGCTCTGGCTTGAATCAGATCTTCTCTTCGTTTGAAGGGGTTTCTGAATTTCTAGCTTGGAATCATTTCTAATTCCTTGTAGAGGTACAGAATGTCTAAGAGCGTCCCCGTTTTCTTCAATGTCAAAGCTCCTGAGGCCCATAAGCACAATGCTCCCAAGTTGCGTGCTACCATTACTCCCGGAACCGTCCTGATTCTTCTGGCTGGACGCCACGCTGGAAAGCGCGTTGTGTTCCTGAAGCAGCTCGCTTCTGGATTGCTGTTGGTCTCTGGTAAAGGCTTTTAAAGAATGTCACGGATAGGACCCTACAAGATGAACAAGGTTCCCCTGTGCCGTGTGCACCAGTCGCGTGTCATTGCTACCAGCACAAAGTTGGACATTGGCTCCGTCAAGATTCCCACCTCGGTCAATGACTCGTTCTTCAACGGAAAGAAGTCGCCTGAGGAGAAGAAGGCCACTCAGGAGGCTGTGGATGTGGAGGTCGTGAAGTCCATTGAGGGAGTTCCTATGATGAAGGAATATCTGTCCTCTAGATTCTGCCTCTCCAAGAGATCCCGCCCTCATGAAATGAAGTTCTAAGTACGATGAGCTCTCGTGGAGATTGGGTTGTTTGTTGAAAGAAATGCGGCGGAATTGGTGGGTGGGTGGTTCAGCGCTGCTGGGAGGAAGCAAATGGGTCAAACCTTACGCTTTTGGCCTGTGTAATCCCAGTCAAACTGTTTCAAGGAAATGAAATCGGTCGCATACTGTATTGTTTCGCTTGTTACGTTTGCTGCCACGTTTGCCTTTGTAAGTGTTGACTTTTTCAGTACTGAGCTAGACATACATTTATGTGTCACTAAGAGGATTAGAGAGTCGGCAACTAGCGAGGTATAGTATTGAAGATGCTCTATAATCAGTAGGAAGGTTTTTCCGCATATTCTCACCCAAGATGATGGGAGACTGATTGCAAAGGATACTATTGCAAAAGAACCCAAGTTACTATGTATAGGGACATCATTTTCGAGACGAAATGTATGAAATGGTCTGTTTTTTGAACTGAAGGATTCATTAGCGATGCGAGTCCAAGAACACATGATTCATGGACTATTGGAGCTGGGTCCGAGTGTGGCTCCTGTGCTCTTTTCAGATGATGACTATTATCAGAGCTATTGTGGTACAGGAATTGATTCAAGCAACAAGAACAGCGAAAGCAATGAAAACACCGCAACACCGACCAAATCCCGTATAACTTGCATTTCGGACTTCGAAACAAATCCATTTCACCTCCCCTACATCCGTTCCATCTTTTCAAAGCTCACCTCCCTCCCCTATTCCTGCCAATTCTATGGCTATCTCAACGGGGACATCCTTCTCTCCCCCCAGATCCTCGACGTTCTCAACGAAACGCTCCACCAAATCGCCGCGGGAGTCTTTTCTCCGCACGTTCTCATCGTGGGTCGTCGCACGAATCATCCCTGGGCGAACGTCACGTCTCTTCTCTCGGGAGAAGCCTATCGAGCGCAGCTGCGTAGCTTCTGCTCCACCGACGCACCCTACATGAACAACGCGATCGTAGCCTTCTCACACTTTTTTTATTATTATTACACGCCAGGACTATTTCTTGTTCACTCCCAACACGTTCAATCCGAGCACGATGAAAGGAATTGTGATAGGCAGAACTGCAGTGGACGGGTATTTAGTTAGTTATGTGAAAAATCCTCGCTTCGGAACTGCGCAGCTCATCGACGCCACAGAGAGCGGTAGCGATGAAAGTCCCTTGGAACGTAGTAGTGTGCGCTGTGCACATGACAGATTCGCGAGGAAACAAAGCAGGCGAGCAGAGTCACAAGAAAAAAAGCATTGAGAACGTGAAATGGAACGAAATACCCTCGGTTTCGGGAGCGACCTGGCTCGCCAACTTCAAACGCCGCTCGATTCCGACCAGCGTTTCCAACAGCGATTGGCGATTCGTTCGGCAGCGAAACGGCCGCTTGATGCTCTTCCGGAACAACGAAACCGACGTTCTCGATCCGTTTGATTATTCCAGAATTCGGCGGTATTTTGAAAACAAAAGTAGAGTGAAATAGGAACATTGTAAAAATAGCTTGTTTGTACTTCGGAGACGGCAAATTGGCCGCCGGAGCGTTCCAAGAATGCAGCAGCGGCTTTGCGTCGTTTCATGACTACAGTGTGGGGTGAGGAATGGAGGGATTTTTGTCCAATAGAATGCCTCAGCGAATCAAAACCAACCGCTTGAATGAAACGTACTTTTTCTATCCGTTCTCCTCTTTGATCGCGGTTATTGGGTAGATCCGACGCGAAGTCTGCGCGCCAATCGACGTGTCAGCAGTTACGGAGCTACGTGAATGTGCCGCTGGATGGATGGGGCGCCGAGGCGAAGAAATGGCGGCATAATTCGTACAGAGAAGTGAAGTATGATGTAGTGATCATTAATGGTCCATGCAGAGAACTGGTGGGGAGAAAGATATCCTTTTGGACGTGGAATGAGCTTTCTTGATTGTAGTTGTTGAAATGGATTCAGGAGAACACGGTGGTGATCGTGATGGGAACCAATGTGGATAGTTACTTTAGCGACGTGGAGAAGCTGGAGGAAATGTATACTGTGATTGAAAAAAGCGTGAGAGAAGACCATATCGGCTATGTAGTTCTTGCAAAAAAGGCGTTTTTTGTTTGTTGATAGATTATTCTTTGTACACTCGTTTCCAATGGAAAATTATAAGAAACAGTTCGATTCCTACATGGACATACTGGACGAGAAGTTGAATTCTATGCGTACGTGTTAATGGATGGTTTTTCTTTTTAGCCTATGCAGATATGATTAGCAAAAAGGTTAACATTCGAAAATGTTATCTTGCACTTATTGTGTTCTCAAATCTCTGTCTTGCTGTTATTTTCACATTAGGGCTTAACGTCGTGGGGTAGGTCTTATTTACTTTCACAAAATTGTAGAAATCTCATTATCTTTACCTATCCTGTCTATTGTTCCTTCGCTGAACTGAAAGCGGGAATAATGGATCACGAATCGAAGTGGTTGACTTACTGGATTCTGTTCGCGCTCTCGTGTGTTCTTGATTCCATGCCCTTTGTGCACTACATTATTCCCTATTTCTCCTTGGTGCGATTTGTCTTCCTCTTCCTTTGCATGATCCCGCAGGTTGACGTAGTGTAGTTAGTTTTGCTTGATGGGTAGTTGGCGACAACGATCTATGATAAAGTGATTGTTCCCAAGATTTTGGTTGTAGGTTTATTCTTTAGCCTTGACTGTGTAGAATGAGAAGAGTGATTAAAGGTACTTGGTTGAGTGATTTTTGTTGATTGTTGTTTGTTGTTAGCAAAGACATAGAAATAATAGTAATAATAATAATAATAATTACTTTTGTGATGAAGACCGATATGATACACTTTTTTGTAATCTTCATGTCCATGTTGGATGTTTAGTTTTTGAATTATGGAATAGAGTTCATAATCTGAGCAAGAAAGCTATTCCGCTCACTTACCGATCAGTAATTGCATTGAGGTTCGTTTTGGTCTGGTTTGGATAATTACGTAGTGGAAAGGATGTAGGCACATTTTTGCATGGAATCGCTTCGAATAATTTTGAAAAGCCGTCTTCTTCGTTGTTGTTCGCAGCCTTTATGACTCCCAAGGTAGCACAAAAAGGATCCTTGTAAATCTAGGGAAAGCTCTTTTCTGACGCGATGTGTCACTTCGTTTCACCTACTTCTATTTTGATGGATATTCCGTCTAGTCATACTGAGAGTATGCACTCAAAATCGCGCTTTCTATCTAGAAATGATGAACTTGTTAAAGTTTTCTGTGCTTCACCAAGATGTCACGATAACCAAGCGAGACGACTTGGAAGTGCATGTCTGTTTGGATGATCCAGCTTATCTGGACGAGAAGAGCAGCAAAAGCGAAGCAAAGGATCCTCGTTTTCCCAAGCATTCCGTTTACCGCGGTTATTCCACGTTGTTTCACAATATTTCACTCACCCAGAAAGAATCAGGCCGACTTGAGCCCTCTCACGGCTCTCTTTCAGTCCTTCGAACTTCTGAATGGAGTTTGGAGCTCGTATTAATGTCCCCTAATTTCTGAGGAAATAGGGACTATTTCCCCAAGTCGCTTTATTGCGGACACGCAAATCTGGATAAACTGAATGCTGTTAGTACAACGAAGGGTTGTTATGTGGGTCAGGAAACGTACACGCGATACATGCACGCGGTAGATTGGAGTTCATTGAGTCAAGCAAAAGCACAAAAAGCCCGATCGTCTTCTTCCCTTTTTGTTGGTCCCTTCTTCCTGTCCACATCGTGATGTCTTTTATTCCTCCGAGACGGTGTGTAAGCTTCCTTTAGAGCACTTCTTGCAGAAAGGCGAGGTGCAGGTGAAGAGTGGCAGTGCGGTGATGGAGGAGGGGAAGGAGATTGGGGAGGTTGTGTTTGTGCAGAAGGAATTCAACGTGGGATTGGCGTTGATTCACGAGTTTGAAGCGGTGAAGGGAGAGTGGCAGATCGGCGAGGAGATGCGTGGCATTCCGGTGCTTCCTTTTGCTTGAAGTGTTTGATAAAATAAGCAAATGAATGAATAAACCATCGAATCGAATGAATGAATGAATCATCGAATGAATGAATAAATAAATAAATGAATGAATCATCGAAGGAAACAAACAAGCAAAACAACGTAATAGAATTACAAAGCAGAATGACTTAAAAAACAATAGAAAAACAAAGAAAACGATCTCCTCCAATCCAATTCATCCAACTTAGAATTTATTTGGCTTCATACCACGAAGGAGCCGCATTGCAGTCAACCACCAAATCAACGAGAAGCGGTCGAGCAAACGGATGCATCATATCCTCCACCAAACACTTCTTCGCTTCCGCCACATTCTCGATCGGTCCCTCCAAAATCACTTCTATTCCTCATTTTCCACTCGCCATCCCTTACCATCGTGGATTTGCAGCAACATCTCGAACCCCAATCGTCGCAATCGCTCGTCTTTCTCGATTTTCAGCATCGCCATCATCACGATATCCGCAGCCCCGCCTTGAATCGGCGTGTTAATCGCTGCACGACACGCATGCCCCTCCTTCCACTTATTCTTCGAGTTGATATCCGGCAATGGCCGATATCTCCCCATCAACGTGCGTGTGAACCCCGTTTCCTTCGCTGTTTGGATCGTTAGCTCCTGCCATCTCTTCACTTCTGGACGCTCTTTGTACCACTTCGCCAACACTTCCTTCGCCTCCTCTAACGACACGCCAAAATCCTTCTGCAGCCCATGTGCCGTTTTCCCGTATCTACAATCACACGCTCTTTCCATCCATACGCGAGTGAGAAGTTCAGGATCTTCGCCTGTCGACGCTCACTCGCGTATTTGTGCTTTAACAGCGGCGCGGGCGGCTCTCCTTTCGAGCTATCCCACTCTAACAAGCAAGTTCCTTTCGCAATGTCTTCCTTTATGTAGTCGTACATGCTAAGCGCCGTTCGGCTGTGGAAATCGCCTCCCAGGCGGAAGGCTTCGATCATCGCCTTGCATTTCGTCATGTGCGCCAACACGCGAAGCTCGAGCTGTCCATAATCGCTCACAAGCAGAATATTCCCTGGCTTGGCCATAAACGCCTTTCGGATGAAGTACACATCCTTCTCCAACGCTGGTTGGTTTTGTAAATTGGGGTTTCGAGAGGAAAGCCTCCCCGTTTCCGTGTTTAAATTCAGCGAGCAGTGCACTCTCTGCTCTGCGTCCGCTACGCTTTGCAGCGGCAAAATAAACGTGTTCAGCATCGTTTCGATCGAATTCACGCGGCCTGCTCGTTATTTGTTTCCACAAAACAAACTCAATGCGTTCAGCGCCAGACACGCGGCTTTCCCGCGGTCTCCGCCTCCCAACGCCTCAAACGCCTTCCCAAACTCGCTCTTCTCCACGTTCTCCTCGTCGATCTTCCCCGCCAACTCCTGAATCGTCGCCGCGTTGCACTGCGGCAAGCCTTTTTCCGTGAAGCTGATTGGCGGAATCCCCAACCCGCGAATCAAAATCGTCCGGTTCTTCAGCGGTTTCTTCTTCCCCGGTTCCACGAATCCCGTCGTGTTCTCCACAGAAAACTCGCGTTCCCGCGGCAACCCGGCCCTCCCTTTTTTGGCGGGCACTACCCATCAAATCGAACCTCCGCGAAAACCCGGCGCGAAGAGAAGCTGCTGAATCTGCGCCGTGCTGTGCACGTTCATGAAGAGCAGATCGCTGCCGCCCTCCGCGACGGCCCACGACTTGAACTGGTTTCGCGCCTTTTCCAGCGCGGCGCGCGCTTCCCGCTCGATTTCGGGGAGATGCCGCGCTACGTCGACCTAGATGGGAGATTGCCGCCAGCCGCACGTGGATGCCGCGCCGCTCCATGTTGACGAGCAGTTGACCGAAGTCGCGGTAGTAGCGACGGTAGAAATCCCACATGGAGAGTTCGGAAAGAGCGCCGTTGAGCGACTCGGAAGTCCAAAACATTTCGCGGAGAAGCGATTCGAGCTCTTTGCGCACGTGCCACGTGGCTTCGGCGTCGAACGCCGAGTAGTCGATCCATGCAGATCGCGTGGCGGAGCCGCGCTGGAGGTCCTGGGGGTGAGGAGAGAGGGAGAAAGCGACGATGACGGGGGGAACGTCGATGGTTTTGCCCTGCATGCCGTCGCGCTTGATGTGGGGCTTTCCGAAGATCTCTTTGTAGGGACGCTTGCGGATGTAGAGCTCTTCGGAGAGGCTTTCTAGCGAGTAGGAACCCTTGCCGACGCGCGAAGACTCCCAGAGACGCGCCATGTGCATGGTGTCGCAGGAAAACCCTTGGACTGTGATTCCCTCGTTTCTGAGTTCGTGGTAATCAAAGCTATAGTTGTGAAAGACCTTTTTGATCGAAGGGTCTTCGAGATAGGCTTTAAAGTACTGCAATGTCCCATGCGCCTGATCTAGGTTATCGATCCAGATCCTCGATCCGCTCCCAAAGTCGTACTTTGGTCCACAGTAGATGGATGCGCAGATTACTTTTCCATTTCCTACCGAATTACGCGTACAATTCGGACGCGCATACCTATTGGAGAACGCTCCATATCGACATCTGTGACCTCTGTGTCGATCGCGTGGTACTCATCTTTTAGCTTGTACAACTAGCACATTAGCAAGCGAATCGGCGGCCCACCTGATCTAGCACTCTCTGGGCGCTTTCCTTCCCATTCACCACAGTCACGTTGTGAAGCGCTGAGGCGAGTCCACGAACCGTCCCTGGCCTCCACCGCCTCCACTGTCGAGCTGCGAGCATGTTGCAAACAAACAAAAAAGCGATTGATCTCTAAAGTTACTATCGTTAAATCTGAACGCCCTCCTTGTTCCAGGCCAGCTCTCCTCCCACAAAGGTCGCCAACACGTTCAAATCATCATCCAAAAACAAAAAGTCGGCGTCCATATTGGCCTCAAGTGCTCCCTTTTTATGGTCCATATGAATCACATGGGCCGGATTACTTGTGGCGTTGCGGAGCGCCTCCTCTCTGGAGCAGCCAGTGAACTTCACATAGTTCCGCACACAGGCATCGATGTGCACGATCGATCCAGCAAGCGTGTCATGATTCTCCTCCAGGACGGCTCGGTCGTCCGCCACCACCACGTTCTGCTTTCCCAGCTTGTAGTGTCCATCGGGGAGTCCCGCCGCGGCCATGGCGTCGGTGATGAGCACGCAGTGCGATCCATTGGCCTTCCAAGCGAACCGCACCGCGAAGGGGTGCGAGTGAATTCCATCCACAATGATCGAGTAATAGGGCGACTCATCCGTGGGCATTCCGAGCACGCCGATCATGCCGGGGTCGCGATGATGGAACGGCGTCATCGCGTTGAACAGATGCGTCATCAGCGAGGCTCCAGCGCCCACACCATCGATCGCCTGGTTGATATGCGCCGCGGTGTGGCCCATAGACACGGTAATGCCCTGCTGCACGAGGTAGTTCGTGGCGGCCAGCGCGCCCTCCAGCTCCGGAGCCATCGTCACGATCTTGATGTTCGACGTATCGCCGTAGCACTCCTGCACAGACTCCGCGCCCTTCACTGGAGCTCGGACGTATTCGGGAGGGTGGGCTCCCGAGCGCTGCGGGGAAATGAAGGGGCCTTCGCAGTGCGCGCCCAGGATGGCGCAGCCCTCCTCCACGGAAGCCTCGCGGTAGGCAAACAACTGGAGGTTGCGGTGGTAGGTGTCGAAGGCGGAGGTGATAATGGTGGGGCAGATGGCAGTGCATCCGGAAGAAAGAAGGTTGCGGCACACATGGTTGATCTGCTCTTTGGTGATTGAAGGGTCGCTGAAATCGTAACCGAAGGCTCCGTTGATTTGAATATCAATAAAACCGGGGCACACGATACGGTTGCGAGCGTTAATCACTTCATCAGCATATACTTCAGATGAGTTCATTCGGCTGTAGAAGTAGCTCTGGGGATCCAAAATCTTTCCGTTCCGAACCCAAAGGTCGCCCAGCTCGATCTAAATATGAAGAAAGAATGAAAGAGTCCACCTTTCCATTTCTAAAAATGCGGCCGTTTGTGATGCGGATGATGCGGTCCTTCTTAGATGTGTGGTTGAAGGAATGGATAGAAGACTGGTTCATGAAAGAGCGGAGCTTCTGGTCCTCTTCACTGATCTCCTTTTTACAAGAAACAACGGGATCCATGTTCCCAAAGAAGTATAGTACTAAAAAACAAAAAAATATGACTATATGGGGAGCCAGAAACCAAAGGCCAAAATTGAGCGTCCAATCAAATTGCTAGTGAAATGCTTTTTCGATTATACAAAACGATTTGCATCATAAAGATTACTTCTAGGCTCGCGCTCAATCATGAGTACTCTTGTAATATATGAAGAGGTCCGTTTCCATGAACTACTCTTTGTTCCAGAACTTATGGGATTTACCTATCCTTGCCCCTGTGGCGACATGTTCACATTTTACATCGTAAGACTGGGTTTTTATTTGTGTCGTGTAGGAAGATTTGAAAAACGGAGAGCTCATTGCAACATGTCCAAGCTGCTCCTTGAATGTCCAACTTGTTTTAGAAGAAGTGAGGGTGATGGCTCGATCTCACAATTAGGGAGAACTTGAGGAATTTCTCATATCTCACGAATTTGTCTAATTTAGAGCATCTCGGTGGTTATACTCGCATAACCTGACGCTTTTGCTTTATTCTTCTTTGGTTAGTGATTTGGTCTGTTTGGTTGTTGGTTGCTTGTTTTAAAACAGAATTGCACCTTATGCACCCTGATTCTTTCCCGACTTTTTTACTTCATGGACACAAATTTGTTTTGGAATACTCATGAGCACTATTCCGCAACAGTTTTCTCAGATTTATGTAAACTACGAGACCGCTCTGTCCTCAGGAAAGTCAGGTTTCGATTGCCTCCTTCAAGGTATATCGGACCGAATGAATGAATTCTCCTCCTTGGAAGAGTTTTATAATTTTGGAGGCGATGTCGTAGCTGTAGTAACTTGACTTGGTGTTAAGTTTAGTTATTTAAGCGAATTATGTCGAATGATGAGAACTATAATACATACATGAAAAGACTGAACGATACACTACCGCAGCATCAGCGTTGCCACACAGTGTTCGGCGAAAAATGTGTGCTTTACCGTTGCAATGACTGCTCGACAGGAGAGTCCAGCTGTCTTTGTGCAGAGTGTTTTGAAGCAGGAAATCACGAAGTAGCAAACTGATCCATCTTGTTAGCTTAGGGTCATGACTACAAACGATACGACAGTTCGGGTGGCGGCTGCTGCGACTGTGGAGACCCCGAATCATGGTGCCGGGAAGGCTGGTGCAAGAAGCACCAGGAGGCGAAGTTCGTGCCCAACAGCGATTTGTTAATGACCGAAGCGTTCCCTCTCTTCACTCTCTCTCAACGCTAGCGATCGAAACCGAGCCTCTGACGTCCTCCGCTGCTGCTGTCTGCTTCTGTTGACAGTGTTTGACACCATCAAATACCCGTACAAACAGACCTTCGTAGTTCCACCGACTCTTTTTGATCGTAGTTCGAAGAACTGATCAAGTTCATGAAGCAGTGGGCCGATCTGAACCAATCGACTCTGCGTGTGATGTGCAACATCATGCAGGAGTCGTACGCTCTCTCCGACCTCATTGCGAAGCTGGAGAAGCTGCACTACAAACTGCCTTCGTTCATTCTGGAAGATCCGAAATACCAAACCACCAGCGTCATGCCGATTCTCATCCGCGAGATCGTTTTATCCTGCGATCCCGTGTGTTCTTTCTCGCTCTTTTAAGCCGCAGAGCAGCTTCACTTACTTCATCATGGTCCTTCTCTTCGATTCTGCGTTCAAGGAATGGATCGTCGTGGTGTACATGGACGAACTGCCTTCTCTTCTCTACGACACCTACAACGTCATGTCCGGCAATTCCTCGCAAGAGTTTGTGAGGCACGACCAGCAAGTTGCTTCGCGGAGAGATAGTGACCACTCCAATCAAGAGCAGATCGCCTATCGCTTCGCCATCGAGTATCTCCAGAACCAAATCGCGCGAACCATTCAGCAAGAGAACGGAGAGGAAGTGGATCCTCACTCGATCGGTCGCTTCGTTCCCCTTCCCTCACGATTAGTCCTGGACGAAAACGACCCCGCGGTTCGCGATCAGATCCTCTCCACCACGCGGAGCTTTCTAACGGAGCTCGAGCGGCTGTTCGCGCAGACCGAAGAAACCGAGCACATCGATCCCGATCGGTTTGCATGCATCGGCTACGATCAGTTCGTCTCGTCGATTCACTGCCAGTTCTTCCACACCGGTATCCAGTTTATGGAGAGTGTGACGAATCGTAGAAAGCTCGCTGTATCATCACGAGCGCTTCGCCGAGTTCTACAAGAAATGCCTTCGGCTGTCATCGAAGCTGTTCAGCAACATCTTCGAACTCTATTCGCGCGAGAAGTTTATGATAACGCTGCCCCAGCCGTTCAGCACGCTTCTCTACCAGACACTCACCTGCATTTACACCATTTCGCAGGACGCGGATAAGTACAATAACGTGCTGTTCGATACCGAAGACGGCGTGCTGGTGCCTTGCGACGAGCTCGTCGAGTTCATCGTGACGCTTCAGGTACAAAGCAGAGGCTTGAATTCGACGTAGTGCGCGGGTTTGGTGCCTTGGAAGCGCGATCGATACGAGAAAACCCCGCACAATCTGATCAGCTACATCCATCTCCCCAACTCGTTTTTGTTCAGCATTTACCGGTTTTTGGAGCTCGTGATCCCTTCGTACACGCAAGAGCAAGCGGAGCTCTTCGTGAAGAAGAGCATGGATCGCGTGCTGCAGAAGTACGCAGAGGACGGAACCTACTGCAGCGATGCGATCGCCACCTGCGCGCACGAGCTCTCCGCGAACATTTACGACTACTACGGAGGTCTGTTCATCTACCACTGCGTGGATCAGTACATTCTGGACTGTCTGAACTTGCTGATGAAGTACTTCCCGTCGCAGCAGTTCGCTGCGAAACTGACGGCCGATGAGAAGAAACTGCTGGAGGCGATCACGAGCAACGGCGTGCGAATGCTGAGCGCTCATTTCTATGTGTTCAGTCTGGGATCGATTCGTTTCCAGCAGAGCCATCGCACTTTGATCTTTTTGAACGAGTGCTTTAACAACCAGCCGTCCATCGTGCAGCGATCGATCTTCGCGATCCAAGTCGCGCTGCAGATGCTTCCAGTGGATTCGGTTTTGCTGGACGTGGCTCATTCCGTGCTTTTCCAAGTGGATATTGGGCTCGAAAAGAAGGAAGAGTCGGCTGTCGGTGTTCATCTAATGGCGAGCTATTTGGTGGTTCTTTTGCTGGCGGTGGTGTATGATCGCGAGTACATTAACCACGACTACCGAGTTTGTGTTGAGTGCGAGAGAATGACGGGTAGGCAACGATCAAAAACGCGATGCGGTTGGTGATGATGGATGTCGAGGACAAAACATTCGAGTCGATTTCTGGGTATATCCGCACCATTCACTACAACACGCAGTTTGAAATGGAAGTGCTATCCGAACTCGCGGATGCGATGTTCGATACGGATCTCATGGAGGATACTTACCATTTGAAGCCAGAGCAGTTGAAGGGAGTCAATGTGTTCACAGGCGAGAACGATTTCTTGATGATGACGCGACACATCGAATATGTGAAGGACACGCTCCATATGAAGGTCTATGAAGTTCCTCCTCTCGCTACCAACGATTTGCTGAAGTATCGATGGCTGATGCGTCGTGAGTGGATAGAACATTGCCTCATCGACTTCTGGGAAGCGAGTTTATCATCTCCTTCGTGTATTCAATGCTCCAGCGTCTCTACATCACGGATATTCAAGACCCCAAACTGCTAGAGTGCTTGCTCCTCCTCATTCAAACGATGACGCTCTGCAAGGGCGATGCGCCCACTGAAACCTATCGTACCTTGTTAGCCGTTTGCTCTATCGATAGACAGTGGACAGTTCTGGGATTTCGATTCGCTGAATGACTGGCCGGACAGAATGAAGGACAGCAGCGTGTTGAACAACGTGGATGTCCCGGCGTTGCTGTGGAAGGACTTGGAGAACGCTGAGATTTCGAAGGACGGAGTCGTTTGCTATCGCCTTCCTCGCAATATCGTCGAAGTATGTTCAAAACGTTGCTATTTGATGCATCTAGATGCTCGGGTTTATCTATCACCACAAGAGCTTCCCTGATGACTTGAAGGATGACATCGAATACACGCTGAAGCGATGTGCTCGCGAAGGCGTCGAGCATGACGCCCATGTGATCGATCAAATCCTCTCCTACAAGAAGAACGAAGTTCCGGTCGCGGCTCCGTCCACCACTGCCTCCACGTCCGTACTGCAAGACATGAACTCCAAGCTGGATAACTTTTTGTCCATGTTTGATACCGACGATTCGGACGATTCGGACGATGCTGGCGGCGACAACGATACCAATTCGGCCATGGAAACGGAGAAGACCGCGGAGGTGGTCGATCTGTCCATGCCGTTCACATGCTCTCTCTGTCATGAAAACCATGTGAACTCTGCAGAAGACGTGCCGATGCTGCTTTGCCATCTGGACACTTCCTTTACCTCCAGTGGGCGTTGGAAGCCACCGTTTGATTTGTAGTGTCGGAGCTCATGCACGGAATCTTTTCCGATCCGCCCTATCCCAAAGACCCCGCGCTGCAAAAACAAAGCGAATACTGTAGCAACGCCTTCACTGGACTGACTCGTAGTGCAGAACCTCCTCAACTCGCGCAGACTCCAGAACGCCAAGTGCGATCTGGTTGCGTTCATCTATGACCGAGCGCTCTTCCCTTACCAGCACATTCTGAACCCCAAGTTCGCCTGCTGCTCGCACATGATCCATCGCAGCTGCATGGAGAATCTGATCCGGACCTCCCACCAGACCACCGGCAGTACTTTCTTTTGTCCTGTGTGTCGTCGCATGGAGAACGCGAGTCTCTCCGTGTACGTCCCTACGCTGATCAATCGCGAGTGGCGAAGACGGCTGTTTGGCGATACGCTTTTCGACCCGGCATCGCGATCGTCTTCGCCGTGGGCCAAAGTGGCGTCGCTCGAAAACCGAATTCCGTCGGTTCCAGAATTCGTAGAGAAGCGAATCGGCTGTTACTGTAGAAAAACTGGTGGCATTTGGCGAGCTGCGCCAATGTTCTGTTCGAATCGATGAAGCTCAATCCGTTGTTGTGCGACATTATCATCAGCGAGGGCATGCTCGATGTGCGCAGAAATCTCGATGTAACACTCTTGCATCCGCTTCGCTGAGTTCTAGGAAAGTGCTCTCGGGTGCGTCAAAGCCACGTTGGACTCCATCGAGTGTGCTTCGCGGTACGACGAATACTGTGCGTTTCGTGAGTGCGTTTCATCCGTAGCGATCTCGTGTACCCCCTACGTGAGTAAATTCGAAGACGGCCGCGCAGTGCTGGACAATCGCGCGATCACGACGCTTCAGCAGTGCTTCCTCTCCGATATCATTCGAACGATCCTCGCTAAAGTGCGCAGCGTGACCGATCAGGTTTCAAGCGGCGTGATCAACTCGTGGTCCTGCTTCAGTCACGTGTTCTCGGGGATGCGCGCCGCGCTGCCCCACGAGACGATCGATCTGCTGGAGAGCCAGGGCTTCCACTTTACCACGATGGATATTCCACTGCGTGAGTACACAGCGACGCAGTTGGAGCTGGTCCGGATGTTTTTGAGCATCCAGCATTATCACAACTACGAAGTGGACAAGTCGCTATTCGCTGGATGGAAGCCGCCGATCGATGAAGATATGTTTGAGTCGATTTTGGTGAAGGAAGTAATGGAGACGGAGAGTGGAAAGGAAGTGGTGCTGCAGGATAATGGAGGTCAGAATGAGGCGATATTGGAGTATTTGACGAAGGTGGGAGCTGGAAAGATGAAAGAAAGAGTAGTAGAAGAAGTAGAAGAAGAAGAAGCGGAAGATCGGGAAGAGGTATCGGACATAGAAGCAATGAATGATGGGGAGGAAGAGGAGAATGATGCGAGACAGGAGCAAATGGATGAAGAAGTGGCGAACGCCAATCCCGAGAATCCTCCTGAGAATCCTCCTGAGAATCCTGACAACAACCTCGCTAACAATGCTGCTGACAACAACTCCGACCAAGAAGACCGTCCCATCTTCGTGGTTCTGAACGGCGACGGGCTCCGCGTCGTGGAGAATGGCATGCCCGCCGCAGCGAATCTCAACGCGCTTCCCCAACCCGTGATCAACCTGCCCGACGACCTTCCTGCTGTCGCTGCCGCCGGCGACGGTCCCACGCCGATCCCGCCCTCCACGCCCTCCTCGCTCTCCTCCCGCATAACCCACATCCCCCTCAGCAACCCCTTCACCGCCCTCTCCATGCAGATGGTCTGCGGCCAGTTCTTCCCCAACTACACCCACAAGACCTCGCTCTTCCTCCACAACTTCAAAGGCCTCCTCGATCTCATCGACCAAGTCCTCAGCGAGGCTTCCTCCGACGCCCCTCGCTCCGCCCTCCAAGCCGATCTCGACCGCAACGCCTGCGCCTCCCATTCCACCGCCACCGCGCAGCTCGATGCCTCCAAAGTCCCGCTGCTCCACGCCGCCTTCGACGAGCTCGCGCAGGTCGAGCAGACCCTCGCCGAGCAGATCTATCAGCGCTCCCAGGCCCCCGCAGAGCGGCTTCGCGAGCTCGATCTCTACATGCAGACGCTCTACCAGCGACAGAGCGAGCTGCGCTCCCGAATCGCCATCGACCTCCTCGACTGCCTTCTCCCTCTCGCCATCCCCGCCGCCGCGCAGCTGTACAGCGGGTACAACACCCTGGGCATCGCGCTGGAGCCCTTCCAATGCCTCACCGATCTCCTCCTCAACGAAGAGCCAATCAACTTCGACGATCTCAGTACTCTCCAATCCCTTTCGTTCTCTCTCTCTAGACCTGACTCTCCTCGATCGCTATCTCCTCTCCGCCGTTACCCTAATTCCACGTTTCTACGTTCTGGCCATCCATCAAGCCGTCTTCGCCCTCCACATCCTCATCGCCAAGAAGCTCGTCCTCCCCGCGGAAATCCCCGGGTTCGACGCCATCCAGGGCGATCTGAAGCAGCTGCTCGAGCGATTCGACGCGATCCACGCGACGCAGAGCGCCAACTGCACCGTCGGCTGTCAGAACGAACTCGTGGCGTTGCTCAAGCAGCGAGGCGTAGGGTTTCCCGCGGGAATCAAGCGTAGTTCGTGAAGACGGTGGAGGAAATGCTGCTTCTCTACTTGCGGAAATGCGGTGCGTCGCTCGCTGCGGATTTGATGCATAGTGCTGCTGCTGTTCACGCTGTCGGACCACACGCCGGAATCTCGCTTCATCCTCCCCAAGGACTTCGAGGAGCTCCGCCAGTACCTCAATCTCCCCGCGGTTTCCGAGTTCGGCTCGATCCTAAAAGACCCGAAGGCGCGTCTGGCGGCGGAGCAGAGCTTGGAGAGCCTGCGGCTGTCGTTCTACCGACTGAGCGTGGCGGACGCGGTGTACAATCTGCCGGAGCGCGCGTTCTTCTTCCTGCCGGTGGTGCTGCCGAGCTGCACGCTGCTGCTGCCGCTGCCGGAGGACATGCGGGCGCTGAACTCGCTGTGTCATCGCTTCGTAGGCGAGCGGAGAGAGGCGTGATGGATAGCATCGAGGAAACGAGGGCACGGCTGGAGAGAAGGAAGAGAAGGAGGCGGAGGAGCAGGACACGCAGCATTGCTCGAAGTGCTCGCGGTGTGTGCAATGCCAGAAGGAAGTGGAGCTGCCGTACATGTGTCTGCTGTGCGGACGGACGTATTGCTCGCAGGACGGAAGAAGCAGCAAGTGCTCGATGAGCTCGATGCGCATCAGGAAGATCTGCGAGTGTCGCTGGATGATTAACACGGGATTCAGCGGAGTGGTGATGAACTGCACGGAGCACTCGGTGTATCCGTTCGGATCGATTTATTACACGGATCATAACAGCACGTCGACGCGAGAATTGCCTTCGATGCGGCTGACCAAGTCGGAGAGGGCTTGTGCGATTTTAGAGCACGCGATTCGCAATGACATGGTGTGGTTTAAGTCGCAGATGTATGAGAAGATCATTGTGTATTGCATTGTTTGTTGGAATAAGAGAGGATGGGTTTGAAACAAGAAGGAAAGAGAGGCGAGCATTCCACTGCGTCGGGTGAGCAGAATTGCGCGTAGAGCGGATCGGAAATGTTTCGATAGCTCATCGTTTGAAGGCTGGACAACGCCGAGCCAACAAAGTCCACACGCTCCAGACGAGGAAGAGCGTCCAGCGTCAGTTCCGTCGTTTTGGTCAGCGTGTTATTCGCGATGTGGAAGGAACACAACTCCGGCAACGCCTCCATCTTCACACTTTTCGCCTGCTCGAAGTTATACATGCCGAATTGAACGGTTTCAAGCCTTTCAAGACCCCGGATCTCCAAGTCCTTCAGCAATCGGAACGATCCATCCTGGTAATAACTCACTTTCCCATCAGCGATCGACAAATTCCGGAGATTGGGGAGATCTTTCCGTTATGATTTCACTCGACAACAACTCGACAGACTCAGCAGACTTCCAGCAGAGAAGGCGAGCGAACCGAATTCGATCAATTCCGCATCGAAGAGATCTGAACCTCGAGAGCACACCGATCGTACTACTTTCAATCACCAATTCGGTCGATATGGAGAATGATGAGGGCGGGAACACGAGCGAAGACCACGTTTGATCTGTACTGAATCGATGCAATCAAAAGGACTTCGGATTTCAATGCGTTTTGCAGACTTCAATCCTCTGCTGAGCATCGTCATGTTGCTTAACTTTGGCGTATCTTTGATTGAGCGAGTTTCCCCGTTTCTACTCTCAAGTGTTGCGATCTTCACAAAGTATAAATCGCGCTCGAACCGAAGTTCCCTCATTTCTGGGAGGTCTATCGATGAGTTCGTTGCTACACACACACTTCGGAATGTGATTTCCTCGACGGCAGCCAGCGCTCCACTCTCCAAAACGAACTCTTCCAATCCTGGCAATTCTACATGCACAGACTTCCTCGCTTACTACCTTCCAATACGAACGTCTTGTTGTTGCTCATTACGTTGGCGCCGAATTCGATCGATCGCAAACTCGAAACATCTTTCCCATCAATTGAAACTCCAGAAACGTCTACTCTTAAACGAAAGCGTCCGCAGATGTGCAGCAGAAGCGCCACGAATGCGCAAACTATCAAACGAGGGCAAATCTGATTTATGAGTACTTCTGCGACTCCATACCGAAGAATTTCATTGTTGTTATGTAACCATCTGACTTGGCAGCATAGTTGAAATGATAGAATTTGGGGAGATTTTGAAGAAGCACAGTATCTAGACTCATTAGAGCGTTTCCTCTGAGGTTGATTTCCTGTAATTCTGGGAGATCCTCCAGCTTCATCGTTCCGTAGTTTGAAGGACTCGATCGCTCAGGAGTCGTTCCATACTGCGATTCGATTTTAGCGAGTTTGGGAAGCTGCGTTAATGTGAGACTGTTCAATTGGGTCATTGAATTCCATCCGAACTGAATCTCTTCGAGACTCGGCAAGTCTTCAAAATCAAAGAAGGAGAGAAGCGAAAGAACGATTCAAAATCAAGCTGTGCGGATTGTAGAACGTATCATTCGGGAAAACGAGCTGGCGAACATTGTCAAGATCTGCCTCTTATCACTTCAAAACCAGTTCTACTCTCAAGCTTCACGAATCCCAAGAAATTGAAACGCGAAAAGCTCCACTCGCTGAATCCAGCGAACTGAGGCAAGTCTGAATTTCATTTTGAGACAACAATGAGAGACCGTGAATGTACAAGTTGGTGTCATAAAAGGCGCTATTTTCGGTCAAAATCGCTCTGAAATTTGGCATGCCTACACTTCGCAGAGCATTCAACGAATACCTGTGATTTCCACATTTTCTACAAAGTACATTGCATACGACTTCGCGTCAATCACTTCGAGTCGAGGCAGATTCAGTGTTAACGACTTCAGTTTCGCCAAACTGTGTTCTCCCGCGGTTAGAAGCGTCACTTTCGGTAGGTCGAGCGTCAAGTTCAACAGCGACTTGAAAGAATTCGACCCGAATTCTAGCTGTTGGAGTTCCGAAAGTTCTACATGAGAAGTGAAACACAAACACACCATTTAGTTGAACGGAGGTAACGGAATTGAACGTTTCATTTGCGAAAGAGAGCTGGACCAAGGAAGGCAAATCTAGTTGCAATTCAACGAATCAAACAAAGCAAACTGCGAAGTGTAAGCGAAGCTGCGTTCGTGAATGCAGCTTTTCCGATCTGTATCCACTGAAGATATGGCAGATCTGCATCTTATTCTTGAACAGGATAATCACCTTGAATTGCCAAGTTTTGGACCTCACTGAACGATGTTGCTTCTTGAGAAGCATTGAACGATCCCACAATCAGCGTAGTAAGCTTGTTCACATTCGTTAGAAGGAAGGCTTTGGCCTTTCGGAAGCAGGAATCGCCGATTTCGATGGATGTCAACTCGGGATTGTTGTTTGCTACAAACTCTTCGCTATGGTCCAGAGCGAGCTCTTCGATTCGAATGCTAGATAGCTGGGGGAAGTTGGATATGTGAAAGCTGGAAACCTCTTGCAACGCCCCCTTTCCTAAAGAAATCGACTTCAAATTGGGAAGTCCTTCTAACATAAATGAACTGCAATGAGCAGCAAATGAAGCTCCCAGTTCCAAAGTAGTGAGAGTTTTGATATTATGTATGGAGAACGAATTAAGAGAAGGTAATACATTGTTGCCTAAGATGAGAGTCTCCAAATGACCTGCCCAAGCCAATCCATCAAGATCAAGCTGCTCGGTATCTGAAAAAGAACTAGTTGCTCCACCACTAATAATCAGTTCTCTTAAACTATTGAGATCTAAAATTCATAATTTGCGGCAAAAATAACCCGAAAGAGAGAGAACTCCCTTCTCCCCTTCAAAGTTATTACCAAGTAGAACAATAGAAGAAAGCAAGGGGCAATCTTCTAAAAATACCATGAATGAAAACTACCTTGAATCGTGAGCGATTTGGCCTCATGGAAAGCATTCTCTCCGACGTAGATTTCAGTTAATTTGAAGAAATCTATTTAAAAAAAGTAATTCACAAAATACCTTCTATTTCGAGATTGTCACTACTCGTCGAGAAACTGTTATTTCCAATAAACAGTTGAGTGAGAGTCACGCTGTCTCGAATTGAAGGAAAATTGCTTCTTTCGAATGAATTGTGCCCAACCTTCAAGGCTCGGAGCTGCTTAGCTACGGATTAATTCAGCAAATAACCTTCATACTCGACAATTCAAGGCTATGTGCATCTGTGAACGAAGAACTACCAACTGCAAAGTGTCGTAGATTATAAGCTTCTGAAAAGGTAAGTGCGATCCACTTAGAAAAGTCTTACCAGATAAGCAAAGTTCATTAGCCCTCGTCATAACCGAATCTCCAATGGAGAAGATCAAAAGACGATCTGAAGCATCGATTACAAAATCACTGCCAGATGAGAAGGCCCCGCTTCCAATTTCGATCGATTCTAATTTCGCCGCCTTTGATAATCTTAGAGATGTACACTTGGAAAACGCTTTTTCACCGACTTGTACTGTTTCAAGAGCACTGCAGTCCTCCAAGTTGAATTCCTGGACTTGGGTAAGCGAATTCTCCCCAACTTGGAGAGTGCGAAGAGCCTTGCCTTCTAGCATGATAATAAGAAAACGATTGAATACTTCCAATATCAAATGATTGCGTTTTCTGTAAACTATTCGACCCGATAATGATTGTTGAAAGAGGCGAATCAGCAAAGGAAAACGAGCGAACTCTGGCGAGCGATTGACTTGCGACTGTCAACGATTCGAGGCTTGGTAAATTGGAGAAGTCAGCCTGAACGACATAAGAAAAGAGCTGCGTGTCTGTGATGTTTCCAAGAATCAAAGTCGAGACAGAACAATCTAGAATTCACAAAGAATCGGAATCGAACTGGTAACGGATAGACTTTCAATATCCGTTCCGATGTTTTGAGTAATGGAAAGAGTCTGAAGAGATGTGAGGTCTGTCGATTACAGAAATTAAAAAAAACAAAAACCTTTCACAAGGAAGGATGGAATATCTTGGATCGAATCACCAACAACAAACATATTGAGTTTGGGAACATCTAGTCTCACAATTAAATAAAAAGCGATTACTGTTCAATTGAATTGCTTGTAAGTTGGCTCCAGAAGAAGGCTGGAAATGGACGAGATTCAGGTTAGAGAGAGTAGTTAATTCGAATCGAAGAAGGGAGGCGAGTGCTCCTTTCTCCGCAGTGATATTGCAGAGATTATAAAAGTTCTTCAACGCAAGGGTAGAAAGAGAGCGGAGAGCGCCTTCTTCGAATTTGATCGAAGACAGGAAGGGTACTTCTAGAATGAACCAACGGAATCTCAACCATACGATCCAGAGTCAGCTCCACAATCGAAGCAAGCGACTTTTTAGGGAAATCCAGACGGTTCAGTTGAGGGAAATTACGGATGGACAGTTTCTCTGCCTTCGAAAACGATTCTGGATAAAAAGCGAGTGATTGCAAGTTCAAATCTTTAACTCAAAACGAGAATGAGAAGGGTACTGGAGAACATTATTTCTTTAACATTCTCAAACGCAGATGGGGAAATAGCCAAGTTCTCCAACCTGGGAGCATCTACATCAAATCAATTTTAGCTTTGTTACCAGTCAGAGCCAAGCGTTCGCTCTGACCGAAGCAGTTTTCTCCAATAGAAACAGTTTGCAAAGCAGTGTCTAAAGTCAAACGATTGACTGATGAATTGTACTTTGCTGTATTTCGAAAGATCCTTGCTGACCCACCCGATTTCCGATCGTTAGATTTGTAAGTTTTGAAGTGGATAGCAACTTTAGAGAAGCCATGCTTAGCGAATCATCCTCAATCGTAATTGATTCTACGAATGGTTGATTCAATTCCAGGATCGAAAGAGATGAGAATGAGGATGAGCCAATTGAAAGAGTTCGTAAACGATTTGCACCTATTTGTGATGGAATAGATTGCAACTAATATACTCAGAGTGAAATTCTGACATGATTGCGAGACATTATTTCCAATGATAAGAGTGTCTAGAAGGGGAGCATCGATCGTGATGGATGCTTTTGAGAGAGAGCGTGCCCCTATTGATAGTTTCTGGATATTTTCCTCTGAGTCATTTTAAAGAATGAATAAAATACGAGACAGAGTGAATTCCGCCAGATCGACCAGATTCTCTCCTTCCAAATGGATTGAGGTGAGCGTGGCAATCGAATTCATCTCGAATGAAGACACGTGCATAAAGGCTCCTTTCTGAATGGTGACCGTTTCAAGGGAAGTCAGATCATTGGAATCTACAGGTTATGCATCGATCCGATTCCAACTGTGAAATACGACTGTGCGAAGGTTTTGGAAGGTATCGCTAGGCACATTTATGCTTTTCCATTCCGCTCCAACGAAGTGGAGTACTCTGAGAGAACCACACATCGCTAAGGCTTCTAGGTCATTTGAATCTACGACTAAAAAGATCACGAATGTGCAACTCCGAGCGTAGGATTCGTGAAAAAGATTGCAGGAATGTTTTGTAAGCAACTTGTAAAGGAATACAGCAAGTACAAAAACAAGAACAGTGCAGAGAGCGCTAATAGAAATGCATAGATACTGACGTTTCGTCACCTTCGACTTGCTAACTTTCAATTTTGGGTTCTTCGATTTCGACTTTGAGCTTCCTGATTTCTTTAGAGCATTGGTGGGCACGGTTACCACTTCATCCTTTGAAGGACTCAGTATTTGCTGCTCTAACTAGTTGTCATACCAGTACAAACAGAGTATATCTACTTCTGTGGAATTCTTATCCGCCATAATCAAAAGGTTACAGGTATTAATGTAGATGGGAAATAGTTCTATCTGGTGCATCCAATCAAATGCAAGAAGCAAAATTCCTTCAATATCCAACAAACAGAACAAGATACACTCTAGTACTATCGATGACTATGACGTGAATGGTGAGACTTTACGTGGGAATGTCCTTCCGATCCTCGATGTCTCGAGTGATCTCCTCTGTGTCTGTCCGAGCTATGCGCATGCTTCGAATGAGAAGAACGCCTCGAGTGTTCCGAATACCGCGAACGATGCGAAGTACTCGACTCACTTCCATCATCCCCATTGTAATCATCCCTTCCTTCCAAAATAAAACTCTCCAATTCGTTTTCATTTTCTTTCTCTTTCTCTTTCTCTTTCTCTTTATCCTTCTTCTCTGCATCACTCTCTTCCCCTCTTCCTCCTTCTCTCCCCTTTTTCTCACTTTCCAGAATTCCCCCATATTTCTCCACAAACGATTTGAAACGCACCAAATCGCTCAAAGGCTCCAATTCCTGCTTCCGCATCTCGCGCAGCTGCTTTTCTCCGTCGATCAGCACCTACAATTCACCCTTCCCCGCGGTTCTACCTTCACAACCGCGGAACGCGGCTTGGGCGTTTCAATCACCACTCCCTGCCGACCTATTCATGAAATCCCCGCGGGGAACGCACCTTCCAAGGCGCCGGTTTTCACGCCGATCTGCGTGCCTTTGGCGAAGGCGTCGTCGGCCTGCCATTCTTTGTGGATCCCCGTGTACACGTGACCGTTTCGTTTTTCGAGGAGGGACTTTTTAACCGCGGTTTTGTGGGGGTGTTGGTTCATGACGACGGGCATGGCGCCGAGTCCGAGCCGCTCGGGACGGATGTTGATTTCGTAGACGGAGGGATCGACGTTGTTTTTTCCGTCCCAACCCATGCCGAGAAGACTGGCGCGACCGAACGCATCGATGGGCACATGCTTGTAGGCCTCGCTGGTTACGCTGCACGCGTCGGGGAGAGAGGCGAGCTCGAGCCGGAAATACTCGTTTCGGTCCTGGAAGTGAAGGGAGGGGGAGAAAACGACCATGGTGTTGAATCCCGGAAGACGGTTTTGAACGGCGGTGGAACCTTCCTTGGAAGTGCTCTGGGCTGTGGATTTGTCGTGGAGTGGAATGACAAGGTCCGAAGTATCCGATTTGGAGGAATCACCCAAAAGGTCTCGCAAAATCGACATCCGGGCTTCTTCTTTGGCATCAAGAACCGGAGTAGCCTTTGAAACAACAGAGGGAACTTGAGTGGGGACATCCACATCGTTTTCAACAGAAGTCTGCTTTTCGGCCTCCTCCTGTTGACGCTTTTTCTCAAGCTCTTTCTCGCGAGCAATTCGCTCTTTCGCCTTTTGAATCCAAGAAACTTGCTTGACCGGAATTACGAGCTCCTTCTTTTTCTCAATGTCTTCTACCACCTAAATGACACACGCCAGAAAGGAAACTACTTGGTTGTTGACAATCTGCGTTATATATTCCTTTTCCGGCTTCTTCTCGATGGGCTGGAATCCGGAGACAGTTTGGTTCTGCAATTTACACACAAAAGAGCAAATCCTCTACCAAAACAGCTTTCTTAGGTTCGGTCTTCAAGCCAAGCGAAAAGGAGAAGTTGAATCCAGTACTCATTGCGGTGAGTACTCAAACGAAGTGAATCAGATTCGAAATTGCCCGAATTTTCGCAACTGCAGTTTTCCACAATTCAAATGGCGTCAAAAGAATGCTTTCTCAATCTTTCAAAAGATTTTTTTCTGCTATGTCCAAGAAGAACGTGGCTGTTATGTGAGTACCATTGCTTTACATAATGGAATAGCCTGTCTGGTTGTGGAGTGTATGATGGTAGCGAGATCCATGAGGCTGTATTCGTGATGGAGAGCATTAGCCGTAACAATGCGAACTATCAGTGCTTTGCTCCTAACATGGAACAGATGCATGTTGTGAACCATCTCACTGTACGAAAGATATGTTATTATTGACAGCTTAGGGAGAACCATCATCCGAAAAGCGCAATGTGCTCGTGGAGAGCGCTAGGTAGGGAGAACGAGATAAGTTTGATGAATAGAATTGCGAGATCCAACGTACAGGATTTGAACAACCTGGACGTTTCCAAATATGACGTAAGTAAGCATGCTGACGTTCATTATAGGCAATCATTCTTCCGGGAGGGTTTGGAGCTGCCAAAAACCTGTCGAACTTCGGAGTCGTGGGTGCGGACATGGAGGTGAAGGAGGGAGTCTCCTCGGCTGTGAAAGCCTTCCATTCCGCAAAGAAGCCGATTGGCGCTTGCTGCATCGCTCCTGTGATCCTGGCGCGCACTCTCCCTGGAGTTAAAGTCACTTTAGGCCAGGAGCAGGTGAGCGAGGAGTATCCCTATGCCGATGCTTGCAAGGCAGCGACGGTGATGGGAGCGACGCATGTACCTTGTGGCGTATAAATGATCAATTTGAGTGATTTGCAGGCTACGGATATTTGCGTTGATGCTGAGAACCGTGTGGTGACGACGCCCGCGTACATGCGCAATAGCCCGATTCATGTAGTGCGCGATGGAATTAACAAGATGGTGGAGGAAGTGCTGAAGATGGCTTTGTGTGTTTGAGAACATACACGTTTCGTTATTGTGAGAGAATTCTTGTGAAGTGTATAATGCAATGAAAACAAGGTGGAAACAGGATAGAAAAGCAAAACACAGAGAGTGAGTGGATAAAAATATGAAGGTACATGCTGTAAAAGCAGAACTCCTTGGATGCTGCTGCTAATTACCTTTTCTCCCTACGAAGCATGCTTTACTCTCTCACAACACTCTGCCATGTTTGCTTTAAGAAAACACGCAATCATAAAGAAAAACTACACAAGCACACACCACACGATCACTCTTTTCGGATGATCAAATCCAACTTCCGATCGATTTCCGCCATTCTTTTGATTACCTTCCGCAGAGGCTTTTCCATCTCCACCCTTTCGTTAACCTTCTGCTTCATGTCCTTCCAAACCGGATTCATCAACACATGATCCGTCTGGTAGGGACGACGCCACGACAGCGAGCGAGGCCCAATGCGTCGACGCTTTTTAACGATTTCCTCTTCCGAAGAAGACTTTGTTCCCGGCTGCTCGCCAAGCACACTCATCAGAGAAGGAAGTCGCCGAATGATCTCCGCGCTGCTTTCTTTTAATGACTTTTTCTCTGCTTCGAATTGCTCGATGGTGGATTTCTGTGCGTGATACTCAACACCGACGCAAACCTCCGAATCGATTTCCTTTTGGATGGACTGAAGCGAGTGGCTGAGTAGCGCGTTTTGCTTTTTTTGCTCTTCCTAGATGGAAAAATCAAAAATAGAAACAAACGAGAGCCAGTCCGATAGACCCAATGTCGTATGTATCCGAATCCATTTCAGACTTTGGAAATAGTCTCTCCTATTCATGATCCAACCGCTATTTGACAACATCAATCTTAAAAAACGCAGAATGAATAATTCGATTAAACATCGCAATAACTTCCTCCTTTCTTCCTTCCGGAGTCATCGACAAGCAATTACTAACAGTAAAGTGAAAAGCTACGCAAATACCTCTTTGCCCTCTTGGCAAACAGCATGAGAATGTTTTTGGAGCTCTGTGACATGGGCTTCCAGGACTTTTTGCGAACACTGTAGTACTTTTCGAATTCCGGCACAAATGCGGGGAAAGCCTTTTGCGCGGATAGCATTTTCGGATTTTCATCTTGAGAACTTGCATTGCTGCGCTTTCGGGAAATCTGGGTCTTGTCTTTCTTTCCTTCTTCCCGCCTCAACGTTTTTGGAACCATCCTATTTTGAAAAGGTTCCTCCAAGCAAATGAAAAAATAGAAGAGAATCCAGAAATTGGGATGATTTTGATGGTTTTCTTACTTTTTGCTTGCTGGCCTGATACAATCCAAAATGAAAAGAAGCCATACAGATTCTGTCGAGGAACGCTATGAGATGTATAAGGAGGGAAAGCGGTCAGCAAATGAAGAGAAAGCTTGGAAGTGGGATCATTATTTTGGAAATTACCCAAAATCTATCAGAGACAATATTCAAATGGATTCTGTGGCTCTCTATAGCGTCACTGTGGATTCGGCTGCAGACACCATAACTCAGATAATCAGCGACTATCTTCCGCCCTTCGCGAGCGTGTGCGATGCAACCGCATGCACCGGAGGTAACACATTTTCCTTTGGAAAGTATTTCACAAATGTAACTTCTGTGGAAATAAACAAGGAGCGGTGTGAAATGCTGCAGAACAACGTCAATCTCTTGGGTCTTTCCAGCCGTGTTCACTGTCTTAACAAGGATTTTTTGAATTACATGAAAGAGATGCCCTATGTTGACTTTATCTTTTTTGACCCACCGTAGACGTGATTTTGTTTTTAACATTTAGATGGGGAGGAGAAGACTATCTTCGAGAATCAAATCTCAAAATGTACTTGTCTGACCGAAACATCGAAGACGTCGTAGAGGATCTGAAACACAAGGCACGATACATTGGCTTGAAGTATCCCCAGAACTTTGACATTACTTCCTTTGAGAATCACATCTCCGCAACTCCTATCAAAGAGAAAAAGTTCATTATAAGCAATCGGAAGCATACTTACTGGAAATTCTCCTTGTACGAATTTCATTCCGACTTCTGTGAAGCGTGTGTTTTTTACATAATGAGTAGATGGAAGTCTGCTTCACATGCTTCCACCTTCTATTCCACGACACACTTTGTTAAAGTTGCAAATATCACCTTTGTATTGCTCACAATCCCCGTCATACGCAGAGGCGAATTACCTTTGCAAGCTCTTAGAAGCGAGTTTCGGAAAGAGTCTCGACACTCTGATTGAGCTGACAGCAGGAATTGGAGCTCAGTCGATTAGTTTTGTGGCAAAGCAGCTCGCCACGAATATAGTAATGTTTTCGTCCCAACCAGCAAAACTGGAAGGGAACATGGCGCTTCTGCTTTCCCACTTTCCGAGCGAAAGCATGCACCCCCATTATTTACTGTGTAAAGAGAAGGAAATCTTCCAGAACCTAAACGAAATTCGAAAGATTGTAGGAAAAGCGAAGAGTGCTTGCATTTATTTGGACTTGTATTTCGAAATGACTCCCAGCGAGATACAATCCGAAACGAAAACTGTGCTTGTGGAAGAGAAGAGTCTTGAGTCCTGCCTGCAACGATTTATTGACTCGATTCCATGGAATTCGAATTGTTCGACACTGCTTCTGCGTTGTCCAGAATGCATCGCGGACATCATTAAACGCGCTCTTTCCATGTTTGAAATCCGAGAACACATTTACAAACAAGAACGTTTCGGTTCTTCTTCTTGTCCACCTCACACAACATCCTTCCTTCTCATCCATCCCCACTATCCTCTTTGCCAAACTCCCTCAAATCATCAAAACAAATACCACTATCAGCTGTCGACCGTATGGCGTCCGGAGCCGCCCTGCCCAATTCGATGCCAAGTTGAGGAAGTATTCTCCACTGTGTTGTCTGACCGCAAAACAGTGCTGGAGACTCTGAATGGGGCGATTCGTTCGACGCCCCCTACAGAGGATCGGTCGATCTGGGAAGCTGCCCATGCTGCCTATATCCACTCTTTCATGTTCCCACTCTCTAAAATGACCGTGTCTCAGGCTCAAACGGTGGATCGTTCCATAGTTCGAGTCTATGCAAACAAAATGAAATACATCGATAAGGTGGTGCCTGCTGGCTTCCGACCTCATCAGATTGTGTGTGTCGGGGGCATCGATGCACATTTGGGGCATGATCTCGCGAAAATGTATAATTTGGAAAGTCCAAGCCAGGTGTTAGTGCTGGCGGAGGGAGATCGACGCGCACAGGAACACCGGAACGATTATACATTTTGTCAAACCCCGAAGAAAGGAGAGGGGCAAGACTGGCAGGAATATCGAAACATTGTTCTGCAGTGGGTCCAAGACACGTTGAAAGAAATAGAGGAGGTTGACTTGATCGTTTCCTGCTGTCCCCACGCAGTTCCGCTTTTTGGATCAATCTTATCAGAGCTCATTAAAAAGATATCAAACGATGGATATCTGGTTATCAACGATCATTCTGTGACCAGCACTGCTGAGCAGGTATCGATGGACATTATCCATGGATTTCATCGCTATGTCACGACATGCAACCCAGCATATGACACGCTTCCGAGAGAAGAGTTAATGCTTGCTGAAGGGATGGACGAGGATGATCAGTGTAGATACCGGAGCACAAAAGAATGGGAAGAAAGGCTGTTACTATTTGGGCTGAAGCGCGTTGTGAACAATAGAAATAAGGAGCTTTGGAACCCGATGGGAAATCTGAAAACTGTATGGGGCTGTTTCTCGTATCTAGGATTTAAGAATTGTTTTGTTTGTTTTCACGATTCGTAAAAAGAAATATCGTGGATACTCAGGAATTGGACAAATCGGGAATGTTCCTTTGGGAAAGGATGGAATAAGGACTACAATAATAATCTCTTTTGTTTTCATAGTGGTCAGCGTTAGTATTTTAGATAAAAATATATCCAAGTCATACTATGCCCATAATAGATTAGAAAGAATTTATGATTGCACAATATTTCGAATTCTGTATAGTGCTTCATTCACAATAGTTTTAGAACAAATGGTGGAATCGTTGAAAGCTGTAGCAATTCACATAACCCAGAATCATTCATAACAGTCCAAGTGAAGCCAATGAAAAGCACAATTGTTTATGGTGCTTTCGAAACCATGAATACTTCTTTTATGGATTGAAACAAAGAAAAGCATACAGCATAATATTTATTAAATATTAGATACCAACAAAAAAAGAATGTCCAACTACTAAGGGAAAATCACTCAACAATTTTAACTAAATTAGCAAAAACAGAATCGACATCTATCACTGAAACAAATTCATAGCAATACTCGTTATAGATTTAGATTCAACCTTCTTAAATGAATGAGGAATATTAACGAATTTAATATTTGGAATATCTACATCAAATCAAAAATTACACTTAAAAACTACTTTCTAACGTAACTGTACGAGGATTTTGGAAGCTATATCCCTTCGAATTGATAGGAGAGAGATTCGGAAGATCTATTTCCATCATAATTTCGTTCAAAAATGATCCTACTTCGCATAGTTAATGAACATGATTCATCATCCTCGCTTCCACAAAGGGAAGCATAACCCAACTCCATATACTGCAATTTGGGAAGATCTATTCCAATCACTTCATCTAAAAACCACTTCCGTACTTTCAACTATTGTTTCTAAAGAACTACGGAATGTGCGATTACCCAACAGAACCGTTTTTAGATTTGGAAGATCTACAAGACTAAACAAGGGTACTATTCTAATACCACGAACCACAAAAGAACTATAATCAAAATTTAGCGATTTTCTTCCAACTTGGCCAATCACAATGGATGATAACGAAGGAAGATTCTTTAATTCGAATTCTCCTCCAAAATCACTAAAACTAAATCGGCCAATATCAATCGTTTCTAGGTATTCGCAATTCAAAATATGGAATGATTTTGACTTATCACAAGCACTATCATTCTTTTTCTTCGTAAAAGAATTGATTCCGATTTTCAAACTCTTAAGCAAGTTCATGCCATCGATTTTGAATGTTTTGACATCAGAAAAGCAATCGTAACCTATTTCGATTGTTTCTAGCATGTAAAATAAGGATACGTCCCAGTCCTTCAAAATACAATTATCACATATTTTCAAACGTTTTAACCCAATATTCAAATTGCGCCCATAGCCCTCATATTCTCTTGAATATGAGTTTCCATCGTACCAGTTACACTCCTTTACAATCTTTCCAGCATTATCATACTCTATTCCAATTCCAAAGCGAGAATCATCACACCAGTAGCCTTCATATTCCTTAAATCCATTCGTGAAGTAACTTACTCCGGACCCAAATCGTTTCCAGTTTATCATAATGCCCCTATACACCAATAATCCATTATTATCATAGAGTTCACCCTTTCCAAATGGAATATCTCTAAAAACTGCGCCAATATATCGACTTCCATGATTTAATTCAATGACTCCATCCTTCACTAATTCGAGATTCTCGTATTCTTTATTTCCAAGCACTTTCAACACCTTCTCATCACTCAACACATATCCCTCATTTGTGTATACCCCGTTATTATAATTTAATGAAATGCACTCTTTATTACTTAAAATGAGTAAAATCCAGCCGTTCACTTTCATTTCTTCACCCACGCGAGTTTCCACGTTTTGAATTGTAGCACTATCAACGCAATAGCTTTCTATTGAAGAATTCACGAAATCAGCAATTTTCTGCATCACAATTTTATAATATAATAAAATGGCTTGGAGTTGTGTTTGAATCCTATTCGTCCAATTTCATATGATTTGTATTAATCCTTATATTATTTTTATAAGTATTGTATGTCCGCATAAATAATCCGGAAAACGAAGAGATATGGCGACTTTTGCAGTTGTCAATTGATTTTAATGTTTTTATTTGTGAACTACTGCTAATTATCCAGGCAATTTATTTCCATTGGGTTATGACGATAATTAACTTGAATTGTATGCGTTGATTTGTTCTTCGTTTTATATATATGTATTCGGTGTTGCGTTATGCTTTTTGTATTGTTGGTGGAAGATAAAGAGCGGTATTATGGAATGGTAGGAAACGGATATTATTTCATTAGGAAAACGTTAAAATAGCATTGTTATAAAATTTTTAGACATCCTAAATTCGATTTCTTGTACTATTCAATGTCAAAGTACATACTCAACTATTTGCGTTATTCAATAAAATACTTGACTATCTTTTGAAATAATAATAGCAAAATATAAATATATCGTTTGTGTGCGATAGTATAACACGATTAGACATTTGAAGAAAGGAATGCATTTGTTTTCTATCTTTACATGGTAGGGAGGATTCTCTGTTCTGCTTCTATTTCCATATTTCCAAGAGTGTTCAATCCCACTTAAATACAACGATTTGGATTTGTAAATTGAGTATTTGTAACCATCTCTCTATTCATCTACAGTATTATACCGATTTAGAATCGACTCGAGAAGGGAGTGGCTATTTTTTCATTTTAGTTAATTACTCAGCAGTATGCATGTATCATAATAGGAAAGAGTCATTTTCGCCAGATCATTCCAAAAATGATCATACAATACACAAGCATAAGAATCCACAATCATTCGATTATTATACACTCAAGTGAATATGAAGTGATTGAATAAGAAATAATAACTATGTGTAATATAGCAATAGGACTCGGGTTTAATGATTAATATAGTTTTGGTTCAAGTTGGATCAAAGAGTGTATTGCTAATAAAGTAAAGGTGACATAATAAAGTACACGTAGCAAGTATGGAATTGACAACGAAAGCGCGAATCCGATTCCGACCAAAGTGGCCATAAAACCCCAGTTATCAAGTAGATATTGCTGTTTACCCGGGATAGTTGTGTTTTTGTCCTATATAAGAATATGGTGTAATTCTTTATACTTAGGTTATTTCGCTTACTACTCTTTTCTATGGTAAAGAAAATGCATTACTCCATTCTCATCCAAGGTTCTCCTACCAATGGTTCATTCGAAGGGATCAATCCATACAAGAACCGGAATCCTAACATCATTTCCATGAATGTGCTTTTCAAATTCAATCAAGTCATGTACAACAATGTGGACACGACCAATATGGTGACGAATACGAATGATGAGGAGCTAATAATTCCTCTTGGCTAGTCTACGATCCATGAAATCATTGCTATCCTCAACATTATGACCGATACTACATTCTCGATATCAATGATGGCTACGAGTTATGGTTGTAGCTGGATCT